TGATAAATATCCCTGAGGAAGCCACGTGACCCTGTGGCGTAACATGTAGGGGAGGGGCACATGATGTCACGAGGCTCCAGGATTAGGTGGTAAGTGGTAACTATACCGATCCGAATCCGATATGCACGATTGAAGGCTCTATTGTTTTGAGCTTGATGTGTGGTGTGCTGGAAACACCTTCTTAACGTGAGCTAATCCTATGGTTTGGGATAAATAAAAGTTGTTTTAAATGATATAAGCACCATGTGGGCACTCTTTGTTCTCCCCTTCATGTGGTCTGCCTGAATTGAGTAAGGGAAGAGTTATGGAATCTTTGCAGCATATGGAATAGAGGAGAGATTGGAGTTTAATCTGGGAGTATTGCATCTGGTCCCTGTGGGACAAAAGGTGCTCTGGCCAGGTTCACATATGTGCAGCCGTGATTTGCGTGGGCACAAGAGCTCATTCATTTGAATGGACTTCAGGTGCCCCGGGACACGCAGAGAAGCTGTCCCTGCACTTCTTTGGAAAATCACAGCCCGCACAGGAACCGAGGTTCCCAGTACAGTTGCGATTTCCAGTGCGGGCGGCATGCCATTAGAATTAATGGCAACCTCCCGCAGGTCCTGCATTCCTGTGTGGGCTGTGTGCGGGTGGTGCAGCTGCAAATATTTGTGTGGGTCCCGCAGCGGCACCACCCGCACAGATGTGAACCAAGTCTAACTGATCGTGCTATTTTAGTGAAATCAGATGCATCCAGGTAAGAGCACACCGGACGGGGAAATCACAGTTTCAACAAAGTAGAAGAGCACTGAATAGTGTTTTTCACTTCAATGATTTAGAAGAAACTTTAGGATTTGAAGCACTGGACCTTTTGGGACCTTATCACACAGACATTTTCTTTGAGGATATTGTGTATGTGTGCATGTATATGCTCTTTAAGTGATTTACATTGATTTATTTTTCAATTCATCTGGTAATATTATGTAAACATTGTAGAATGGTAGGAGCACGGCACAATACAATATATATATATATATATATATATATATATATATATATATGGGATTGTGTTTGGTGCTAGCAGCTTACAAATTAGAAATATTTGCACAGCAGCTCACAAGGTTTTTTACCTACACTCGGCTACCAAAAAAAATGTTTTGTAAGCTCTATACTTGCTTTGCGATACATTTATATATACATAGGCAATTGAGCACTATCCGTCATACTTTTTTTTAAATTTTATTTGCACTAAGCGCCAAATTTTCAGGACGGGCTTTCAGTGTGTCCCCCCTTCTTCACGGTCCAAGCAGTGCAAAGGTGTAGCAGATTGTTAAGACAATCTCTGACCCCTGGTTCACACCCATGAGGTTTCCGATAGCTGCGTTTGCTTAATGGGCTGCTGTGAAACCACAGCCACAGGGAAAATGCATAGTTTAGTGCAGTTTCTAGTGCATGGGGGTGTCGTTAGGATTACTGGTGCCCCCACACATCTCCTAAGTAGCAGCAGGTACAGATGTGAACCTAGCCTCAGGAATAGAAATAAAAAAAAAAGTACAAACACAGCAATAGTAAATAAAATCTGATACTTCGTAAGATAAGGAAGGGAGAGAGCTATGGACTAGAAAGTGTGGCATCAGTACTGCTTGGACCATGAAGAAGGGGTACGGCCCAAAAGCTTGTCCTGGACATCGGAATGTTAGTGCAACTGGAAAAGCATCACAGACAGTACTCAATTGTTTTTGCTGCAAGTGCACCTCAAGCATATACACATGGGAGAACTATACTGCTCTCATCAATTAGTTCAGCATGGATCTCGAGAGGGGCCCAATGCAATATTAAGTAACACATACTGATATCTAAACAGAATTATGATACAGCTCACCCAGCACAGTGATAGAAGAACCCCCCTGCAACAGATTACATCGATACAAAGATATCTATAGAGGATGTATGCACCGCATAGGAGGAACAGGAGATATATCCCCTTTATTGGACAGTGGAATGATATATAATCTTTCATACAGATCTCCCCCAGCAGTGTGAGCGGGATCTAGGACTGTATAGTGACGGGGGAATCCCTATTCTGGGATATACTGCAACAGGCATCATCAGTGTGTATACACACACACACACTTAAGGATGCCCCATTGTTTCATGGAAATTACAATTATCAACCTACAGAGGACTGAAGTCTGAGGTGCAACCTGGCAGCGAGTGTGGGGGCCATTCAATGGTATCAATTCCATCATCCTCCAGGAACTGCCTGCATACTCTGCCAACATGAGGCCGGGCATGGTCGTGCACCAGGAGGAACCCAGGACCCACTGCATCAGTGTAGGGACTGACAATGGGTTCAAGGATTTCATCCAGATACCTAATGGTAGTCAGGGTGCCATTGTCTAGCCTGTAGAGGTCTGTGCGTCCCTCCATGGATATGCCTCCCCAGATGATGAGTAAACTGCAGCCGGCATCATCAGTGTGTACACACACACGGGGTAATGTGTTAGGAACGTAAGCATGCCCTATTGTTTCATAGAAATTACTGAAGTCTGGGGTGCAACCTGGCAGTGAGTGTGGGGGCCATTCAATGCCATCAATTCCTTCATCCTCCAGGAACTGCCTGCATACTCTCACCACATGAGGCCGGGCATTGTCATGTACCAGGAGGAACCCAGAACCCACTGCACCAGTGTAGGGTCTGACAATGGATCCAAGGATTTCATCCTGATACCTAATGGCAGTCAGGGTGCCATTGTCTAGCCTGTAGAGGTCTGTGCGTCCCTCCATGGATATGCCTCCCCAGACCATCACTGACCCACCACCACTCTGTAAAAAAATAAAAGTCAGCAGATACAAAAGCTGTAGCTGCTGACTTTTAAAAAGCAGCCATTTACCTGTCCCTCGATCCTGCGGTGCCCCCACCGCAGCCTGTTTCATTGGCCGTCCTGTATTCCATCTTCAGTGTGGGCACCTGGCTGTGACAGTTTGAGGCTTCATAGTCGGGTGCCCACTGCGCATGCACGAGTAGCACTGCGCTTCATGAATGGCCAATGGGACGTGTCACGTGTCCCACAAGACTTCGGGGAGGGAAATTAGGACAACTTCCGCTTCCGATCACCTAGGCAATTGCAGCGGAAGTGGGAGCGGGTACATGTCAATTTCAGGTACCCTCTCCCCAAAGATTTCAATCCTTAATGGGGAGCGGGGGACCAATCTTTCAAGTGAAACTTCCCCTTTTGGGTGGAACTCCGCTTTAAGGACCTTCAGCAGCCCTGTCCAGCTCTCCTACAGTAACTGCCTGTCTCCTGGAATCTCCTCCATGCTCTTGAGACTGTGCTGGGAGACACAGCAAACCTTCTGGCAATGGCATGTATTGATGTGCCATCCTGGAGGAGTTGGACTGCCTGTGCAACGTCTGGAGGGTCCATGTATCCCCTCATGCTACCAGTAGTGACACTGACCCTAGCCAAACAGGTGAAAAAAAAAGAAATGAGTAGGGAGAAAAAAAAATGTCAGTAGCAAAACCATTCCTGTTTTGGGGGTCATCTCATTGTTGCCCATCTAGTGCACCTGTTGTTAATTTCGTTAACACTAAAGCAGCTGAAACTGATGAACAACCCCCTCTACTACCTAACTGACCAGATCAATATCCCCGGAGTTTCAGTGACTTCATGCCACTCTCTGACTACAAAGTGTTCCTTTAGATTTTTGGGCAGCATACATATGTATTATACACACACTACCAGGCAGTGTGAGAAAAATCTGGCAAGGCCCAGGGATGGTGCCCCCCCCCCCCCCTGTATGGGGCTATATGGTGACAATTATCTATACATTATGTATTTAGTATACAGGAGCAGAGCACAGGAATGGGGCCCTGTACAGGGATTTATAGTGACAATGATGTGTATACATAGTGTACAAGGGGGGTATGAATCAGCACAGTTATGGCCCCCCCCCGGTAGTGGAACACACCGCGATGGGGGCCCCCCCGGTAGTGGAACACACCGCGATGGGGGCCCCCCCCCGTAGTGGAACACACCGCGATGGGGGCCCCCCCCCGGTAGTGGAACACACCGCGATGGGGGCCCCCACCCGGTAGTGGAACACACCGCGATGGGGCCCCCACCCGGTAGTGGAAACACACCGCGATGGGGCCCCCACCCGGTAGTAGTGGAACACACCGCGATGGGCCCCCCACCCGGTAGTGGAACACACCGCGATGGGGCCCCCACCCGGTAGTGGAACACACCGCGATGGGGCCCCCCCCGGTAGTGGAACACACCGCGATGGGGCCCCCCCCGGTAGTGGAACACACCGCGATGGGGCCCCCACCCGGTAGTGGAACACACCGCGATGGGGCCCCCCACCCGGTAGTGGAACACACCGCGATGGGGGCCCCCCGTAGTGGAACACACCGCGATGGGGCCCCCCCCGGTAGTGGAACACACCGCGATGGGGCCCCCCCCCGGTAGTGGAACACACCGCGATGGGCCCCCCCCCCGGTAGTGGAACACACCGCGATGGGGCCCCCCCCCGGTAGTGGAACACACCGCGATGGGGCCCCCCCCCGGTAGTGGAACACACCGCGATGGGGCCCCCCCCCCGGTAGTGGAACACACCGCGATGGGGCCCCCCCCCGGTAGTGGAACACACCCGATGGGGCCCCCCCCCGGTAGTGGAACACACCGCGATGGGGCCCCCCCCCGGTAGTGGAACACACCGCGATGGGGCCCCCCCCGGTAGTGGAACACACCGCGATGGGGCCCCCCCCGGTAGTGGAACACACCGCGATGGGGCCCCCCCCGGTAGTGGAACACACCGCGATGGGGCCCCCCCCGGTAGTGGAACACACCGCGATGGGGCCCCCCGGTAGTGGAACACACCGCGACGGGGCCCCCCAGTACTGGAACACACCGCGATGGGGCCCCTGTACAAGGACATACAGGCAGTCTCTAGGTCCCCCCCGCAGTGTATGCCGGGGTCCGGGTACAGACATGTATACACAGTGTATATCTTACCCAGCAGAGTGAGGAGGAGCTGGCCCAGCACAGCCAGGTAGCCTGCGGACGCATCATGGGCCGAGTTTAATATGGCGTCAATGATGAAGACAGGAGGGACCCGCAGGGCCACATCCAGCACGGCCCGCACCCGCTGAGTGGCCGCCATGGGGGTCTCCGGGGTGAGGGAACCCCCCGTCCTCCCCGGGGCTACTGTCCTCCGGTGTCCTCTTCCGTCCGCACCGAGTCCATGTCCCCCACACCGCACCTGCTGCGGCCAGGAACTCCGTCACCGCCCGCCCGATACCTCCTTTGACATCACTGGCATGGCGGACCGGAGGCCCCTCCCACTGCGCATGCGTACATTATCTTCGGATTTTTTTTCCTTCGCTAAACTTTATTGTATGCGAACAAACTAGAGGTAGAGCGTAGACTAGAGTGATCGCAGGGCTGGGTGTGAGAGAAATCCTCCCCCTGCAGGCTGGATGTGGACACTACACACAGACAGGTGACACTTGTGATGCAAGGTTTAATCTGACCGTGTGACTGGGCTGCTATTGCTGGAAAATAGGAGCACGTGACCTGCCTGCCCTAGGGTTACCATCAGTCCCTGTGTGCTGGGGGCAGGCTTCATAGTCCGGGGTCTATACCGAGAAAACAACCATCCATAGATTCCTCTCAGCGGGGCCTAAATACTGCACTACACTTCCTGCATTACTCCTGACCCCTGCACTCCACTGCTCATTAATCCTGACCCCTGCACTCCACTGATCATTACTCTGACCCCTGCACTCCACTGCTCATTACTCCTGACCCCTGCACTCCACTGATCATTACTCCTGACCCCTGCACTCCACTGCTCATTACACCTGACCCCTGCACTCCACTGATCATTACTCCTGACCCCTGCACTCCACTGCTCATTACACCTGACCCCTGCACTCCACTGATCATTACTCCTGACCCCTGCACTCCACTGCTCATTACTCCTGACCCCTGCACTCCACTGCTCATTACTCCTGACCCCTGCACTCCACTGCTCATTACTCCTGACCCCTGCACTCCACTGCTCATTGATTACTCATGACCCCTGCACTCCACTGCTCATTGATTACCCATAACCCCTGCACTCCACTGCTCATTACTCCTGACCCTTGCACTCCACTGCTCATTACTCCTGACCACTGCACTCCACTGCTCATTACTCCTGACCCCTGCACTCCACTGCTCATTACTTACTCCTGACCCCTGCACTCCACTGCTCGTTACTTACTCCTGACCCCTGCATGCCACGGCTCGTTACTTCTGACCCCTGCACTCCACTGCTCGTTACTTACTCCTGACCCCTGTACTCCACTACTCGTTACTTACTCCTGACCCCTGCATTCCACTGCTCCTTACTTACTCCTGACCCCTGCACTCCACGGCTCATTACTTCTAGCCCCTGCACTCCACTGCTCGTTACTTACTCTTGAACCCTGCACTCCACTGCTCGTTACTTACTCCTGACCCCTGCATTCCACGGCTCATTACTTACTCCTGACCCCTGCACTCCACTGCTCATTACTCCTGACCCCTGCACTCCACTGCTCATTACTCCTGACCCCTGCACTCCACGGCTCATTACTTCTAGCCCCTGCACTCCACTGTTCGTTACTTACTTACTGACCCCTGCACTCCACTGCTCGTTACTTACTCCTGACCCCCCTGCACTTCACGGCTCGTTACTTACTTCTGACCCCTGCACTCAACTGCTCATTACTTACTCCTGCCCCCTGCACTCCATTGCTCATTACTTACTCATGACCCCTGCACTCCACTGCTCATTATCTACTCCTGACCCCTGCACTCCACTGCCCTTTACCTACTCCTGACCCCTGCACTTTATACACCTGTACTCTGTACATTACTTCTTCCTGACCCCTGTACTCTACATCCCTTCCTCCTGACCTCTGCACTCTGTACATTTGTTTTTCTTGACCTCTGCACTCTACATTACTTCCCTATGACCTCTACACTTCCAATACTTCATCCTGACATCTACACTCTATACATTACGTCACCCTGATCCCTGCACTCTGTACCTTACTTCCTCCTGACCTTTACACTCTGTACATTACTTCCTCCTTACCCCTGCACTCTGTACATTACTTCCTCCTGACCTCCACACTCTTTACGTTACTTCCTCCTAATCCCTGCACTCTACATCACTTGCTCCTGACCTCTGCACTCTGTACATTCGTTTATCCTGACCGCTGCACTCTACATTACTTCCCTCTGACCTCTACACTCTGTACATTATTTCCTCCTGACTGCTACACTCTTTACAATACTTCCTCCTGACCTCTACAATCTGTACATTACTTCATCCTGACCCCTGCACTCTGTACAGTACTTCCTCCTGACCTCTACACTCTGTACATTACTTCTTCCTGATCTCTGCACTCTGTATCTTACTTCCTCCTGACCTCTACACTCTTTACGTTACTTCCTCATTATCCCTGCACTCTTCCTCCTGGCTTCTGCACTCTGTACATTCTTTCCTCCTGACCCCTGCACTCTACATTACTTCCTCCTGGCCTCTGCGCTCTGTACATTCTTTCCTCCTGACCCCTGCACTCTAAATCACTTCCTCCTGACCTTTGCACTCTGTACATTCATTTCTCCTGACCTCTGCACTCTACATCACTTCCCTCTGACCTCTACACTCTGTACATTACTTCCTCCTGACCTCTGCACTCTGTACATCACTTCCCTCTGACCTCTACACCTCTGTATATTACTTCATCCTGACCCCTACACTCTGTACATTATTTCCTCCTGACTGCTACACTCTTTAAATTACTTCCTCCTGACCTCGACACACTGTGCATTACTTCCTCCTGACCTCTACACTCTCTACATTACTTCATCCTGAACCCTGCACTCTGTACATTACTTCCTCCTGACCTCTACACTCGTTATGTTACTTCATTCTGACCCCTGCACTCTGGACATTAATTCTTCCTGACCTCTGCACTCTGTGTATTACTTCCTTGGGGTTGATTTACTAAATGCAAATATACTTTGCACTGCAAGTGCAGTTGCTCCAGAGCTTAGTTAATGAGGTGAAGCTTCACTTTGCAAAGAATACCCAATCACATGTAAGGAAAATAAAAAACTGCATTTTTGCCTGCACGTGATTGGACTAAAGAAATCAGCAGAGCTTCCAATCATTTCAGAGCTTCCCCTCAGATCTAGAACCACTGCAGATCACAGAATATTTACCTTTGGTAAACCAATCCCAATGTGTTGCACATTCCCTATTCCACACCATCTCAATATGTACATAGTTAGTCTGGCTGAAAAAAGACAAAAATCCATCCAGTAAAACCATTAAAAAAAAAAGTTATAATCCTATACCCACAGTTGATCCAGAGGAAGGCAAAAAACCCAGCAAAGCACTATCCAATTTGCTCCTGCAGGGGAAAAATTCCTTATTATTATTATTATTACTTCAGTATTATAAAGCGCCAATAGTTCGCTCACTGTATACATTACAAAGGGGGACAGAACATGTGTATCAATACAATGCAAAACATGAGGGGATCGAGGGCCCTGCTCTTTCAAGCTATACAATCTAGGAGGGAGGGATTTGCTCCTGCAGGGGAAAAATTCCTTCCTGATCCCCCCGAGAGGCAATCGGATACTCCTGAGATCTACACCGAGTTCACTATATGCACCACTGATGTATCTATACATGGAGATCATATCCCCCCCCTTATGTATTATACATGGAGATCATATCCCCCCTCATGTATTATACATGGAGATCATATCCCCCCTTATGTATTATACATGGAGATCATATCCCCCCTTATGTATTATACATGGAGATCATATCCCCCCTTATGTATTATACATGGTGATCATATCCCCCCTTATGTATTATACATGGAGATCATATCCCCCCTTATGTATTATACATGGAGATCATATATCCCCCCTTATGTATTATACATGGAGATCATATCCCCCCTTATGTATTATACATGGTGATCATATCCCCCCTTATGTATTGTACATGGAGATCATATCCCCCTTATGTATTATACATGGTGATCATATCCCCCCTTATGTATTATACATGGAGATCATATCCCCCCTTATGTATTATACATGGTGATCATATCCCCCCTTATGTATTGTACATGGAGATCATATCCCCCCTTATGTATTATACATGGTGATCATATCCCCCCTTATGTATTATACATGGAGATCATATCCCCCCTTATGTATTATACATGGAGATCATATCCCCCCTTATGTATTATACATGGTGATCATATCCCCCTTATGTATTATACATGGAGATCATATCCCCCCTTATGTATTATACATGGAGATCATATCCCCCTTATGTATTATACATGGAGATCACATCCCCCCTTATGTATTATACATGGAGTTATATCCCCCTTATGTATTATACATGGAGATCATATCCCCCTTATGTATTATACATGGAGATCATATCCCCCCTTATGTATTATACATGGTGATCATATCCCCCCCTTATGTATTGTACATGGAGATCATATCCCCCCTTATCTATTGTACATGGAGATCATATCCCCCCTTATGTATTATACATGGAGATCATATCCCCCCTTATGTATTATACATGGAGATCATATCCCCCCTTATGTATTATACATGGAGATCATATCCCCCCTTATGTATTATACATGGAGATCATATCCCCCCTATATTATTATACATGGAGATCATATCCCCCTTATGTATTATACATGGAGATCATATCCCCCTTATGTATTATACATGGAGGTTATATCCCCCCTTATGTATTATACATGGAGATCATATCCCCCCTTATGTATTATACATGGTGATCATATCCCCCCCCTTATGTATTGTACATGGAGATCATATCCCCCCCTTATGTATTATACATGGAGATCATATCCCCCTTATGTATTATACAAGGAGATCATATCCCCCCTTATGTATTATACATGGAGATCATATCCCCCCTTATGTATTATACATGGAGATCATATCCCCCCCTTATGTATTATACATGGAGATCATATCTCCCCTTAATCTCCTCTTTTCAAGAGAGAATACATTTAGTTCCTCTAATCTTTCCTCATGCCTTTTATCAGT